CAAAGCTGTAAATCTTAAGGGGAGCGTACTGCCTCATCTTGCTCCCTAGAGAGGCTGAGCGGTAAGAACTGCCAGTGGTTCAGTTGACAGTCTAATACTTAACTCACTGAGCCATCAGGGCTCCTAATAACCCACAGCTGAGTGTAACTTTTAGATATGTCTGGGAAATCACATGTTCACGAGACTTGCTTTACTGTGACAGTCACGTTATCATGATATTCTAGAACCGAACCTGCAATATCTACAAGATATGCTTGTAACCAACTTTGCTTAGGCAAGTAACAACTTAGGGCAGAGCCTCACGACTAGAGTCAGATTCAAATCAGTAAATTAAGCCAGCATGTATTATCTGGAATTTAAGGAACACACGCATGTTTTAAGTTCCTGTGTTTGGGGTTTTTTTTATACAGTTTTTTGTTTTTCCTTTTTTTTTTTTTTTTACATTTTTTCTTGTGGCCTAGAGAGTAAGGATTCGTGCGGCCAACCCAAAGCAAGGCAGTTTGAATTTATCAGATGCTCTGCAGGAGAAAGATGGGTAATGTCTTCCTGGGCAAATTAAACTTCTCAAAAATCTGCTATAGGGTCAGGTGGGAAGGTTCTAACTTGATGGCAATGCGTTTGGTTTTATGATCGCAAAATATTTGCATGTATAGGCTTTCTGTTGTCAGTAGCATCTTACGAAACAAACTATGAGGTCATTTAGAGTGGTTGATTTGGCGTCAATTCAGAGCTGTCGAAAACACAGTTGTTTGGCTCCCCCTACAGGTATATTTGCTGAGCTGCAATTTGCAGAACGCTGCAGCAAGTAGATGCAGGCACATAAACAGTAATAACACAGATAACAATAGGGTGATAGAGTCAATTCTGACTCATCGTGACCTGAGAGACAGAACCAAAGAGCCTTGTAGAGTTTCCAAGGCTGTGAACATTCACGATTTCACTGTCTGAGCGAGTGACGGGCTTAAATTACTTCTCAGTTAACAGTCCAGTGTGTAAAAACTCTGTGCCACCAGGGATCCTTAAACAGAGTGTTTTCAAACTTACAGGAGCATCGAGTAAAATGATTTTCACTGTTTGGCACAATATTATCTTTCTGAGAATCCACTGTGCAAGTTTCAGGATAAGGAAATGGAGTTGCTGCTCTTGTCCCAAGACTTTTTTTTTTTTTTACTATCATAAATACATTTTTTAAAAACCCTCATAACCATTGGAGCTTCCTATGCTTCTCTATTTTCCATGTTGTGGTTGTTTTTTATGTACAACAGCCCTAAACTCTATTCTATCTTGTGCCAATAGCACTGTCTCCGACAAACCCACCCGGATTACCCCAGTCACTGAAACAATCCACCTCATAGAGGGCCCTCCCCTCCTGCGCCATTCCTCCACCCTCCCAAGCATGCTATCTCCCTCCAAGGACCGGTCTCTCCTTACAACATGTCTAAAGTATGCCAGACGAAGCCTCAGAATCCTTGCCTCCAAGGAGCAGCCTGATTTAAACCTCTCTAGGATGAATCTGTTTTTCTTAGCAGTCAATACTTTTCTCCAGCACCACAGCTCAAAGGCATCAATTCTCCTTCTATCCTTCTATCCTCCTTGGTCATTGTCCAACTTTCTGATGCATAACAAGTGATTGCAAAGACCATGGCCTTAGACCAGATGCACCTTAGTCTCCAGAGTGACACCATTGCTCTCCAGTACTTTGCAGAGGACCCGAACAGCAGACTTTCCCATCGCAATATGTCTTTTAATTTCCTGGCTGCTGTTGCCAAGAGTGTTGACTGTGGAGCCAAGCAAACTAAAGTTGTTAACAATCTCAATCTCTTCACCATCCATCCTGATGCTGCCAATTTTCCATAGCTGTTAGAAAACTCCAGGCAAAAATTGTGTTCTACTTCTAATAACTGTTCATTTTTACTTTTTCATGTTTTCAAGCCGTTGTTCCTTTGCTTTTCTGACTTTATTATCCTTTTTCTGTACTTGAAAAATATACATAATATATATTCTCAATATATTACATAATATAGACTTCTATATTATATATATAACTTAATGCCTATTAATGTACACATTTTCTGAGGTCTCTGGTCACTTTATAGTCTTTTAAGATAGTAGGTATAGATGACTGGTTGTTTTTCCTAATTTCTAATTTCCATGACTCTCTTTTCATGTCCTCCATTTTAATTTTTCAGTATTATATCAGAAAAGTATAAAATAAGTCTGTACTATCTAATAGAGAAGGACTTTTCAAGAGGAAAGTCAACTAGATTATTATCGGTTAGTAGCGTTTATTTGTAACTTTGATTATGTTCAAAGATAACTTTCTGTTAGTATGTCTGTATTAATAAAAATGAACAAAATTAAAAAAAGAGAAAAGGATGGCATAATAAACATGGATTTGAAGGAGAATGAAGATCACTGAGGTGGCTGTCAAAACCAGCACTTGGAATTTGGACAAGTCACCGCTCATGGGCCTCCCTCCTTATCCCTAAAGCAAGACACCAGATTTCACGTAGTCTGAGGTTTCTCAGAGGCTGAGAAAGCAAATTTTTCTGATGATTACTTAATACACATCTCTTAAATGTCTGGTATTGACTTGACTCTGTTTTGGAGTTATAAGATGTATGTTTAAGGTAAAGGTAATTCATTATTTCAAGGTCGTCTTCCCTTGAGGCCACTTACTTTGAGAACTACAATGCATGAGGTGCTCCCTGAAGGGAACTTCAAGGCCAAAAAAAGGCCTTAATGGTTTAATTGCCAGGCCAGTCTGAGCGAAGGACTGGTAGGTAGGCACAGCTGAAGCCAAATGATCTCTGCCCAAAATCAAGAGTCCTATCTCTTCACTGCTTAAACATAAGACCCAGCTCTGGACAAACTTTTGCCTGAGGGGGGGTCACATGAAATTCAAGTTGATACCTTTATCAGTGCATTTACTACTTTTTATTTGGGTCTGTTCTGATTGGGAATGGGACTGTCCCTTCCTGAGACTAATCTGTATGTAGAGCTGAGATCTCAAACCCAAACAGGAAATTGGAAAACTCATTCCAGTTCCCACAAAGGTCTTGGGACTAATCCTTGAAGGAACAAATCAGTAAGAGCAGAAATCAGCACATTCTTCAGTTATGAAACCTGGCAAAGATCTCAAACACCTGGTGATCCTGAGTGTCTCCTGATACCTGACTCCCTCTCTTCTTTCATTCCTATAAACCCTCTGGGATTTTGAGGGGATTGAGGGCCAGAATCTGCGATTTATGTAACTTCATTGCCACATCTATCCTGACATTCCCTGTTGTTGCTGTTGTGTGTCGCTGATTCAGAAACAACAAAAACTGAACCCTCCCCAGGTTCTCAGAGGCAGTAAATCACATGAGAGGAGATAGCCCATCCTTCTCCCATGGAGCAGCTGGTGGATTGGAACTGAATACTTTTGGGATTGCAATGCACTGTTTTAACACTGAGCCACCAGAGCGCCAATAGAATGCACCGTCCTCACAATCATTGCTATGCTTGATTGATCAGCCATTGTATCACTGGTCCAAGTAAAAAGAAGTTGTATACATGGGTAGTCTGTGGACTGCAGGTAAGTCCGTCAGGTATAAGAGCATCCCTGTCTTTCTGTGAAGAAAAAAACCTGGTGCTGGCTTCTAAATAGCTTCTTTCAACAACAAAATCTTGCTGCCAATGCCAGAAGGACACCACCACTGTCTGTGATTAAATCTTCTTTCTTTTTTCTACATTACTTAACTAAGGTTTATGTGGAATTGCTATAATTGATTCAGTTTGTCTGGCTCTATAGGTTGGCCAACAAACCTAAACATTAGGAAGAAATATGGTGTCAGAAACCTTGAAAATTGGCTTTTCTATCCTTTATGTTAGGGCCCCATCCCTCGTTGGGGGCATGGTCTCCAGCTACCTTAACTGTGGACATATGGCCTTGCAAATCAATAGCTGTGGGACCAATATAAGAGAATGCTTTCCACACTGTTAAAGATGGTGGTGGAGAGAGGGTGAAGAGACTGTGGCAGATGGTAAAGAGACTATGGCACTACTGTGAAGAGAATGTGGCAAGGTGTAACCAGAGGAACCCTGGAGATGAAGCCACAGTTTTGCTTGCTGGATGACAGAGAAAACCAGGAGTTTATTTGTGCTGTTGAACTGAACCTAAACTTTCACTTGTTGGCTGAGAAGGTATCTTAACTAATAGAGGAATTGTGTCTTGCTGTTAATCTGACTTGGGACTGCTAGACTAAACTTGAACTTGAATTGTATATGATATTCTCTGCCTCCTCTACTCCCCAACCTATTTCCCTAATAAACTCCACAACTGTGAGCAAAGTTTGTGAGTCAAGTTGCCGTAAATATTGGATTCATAGAACTAGATGCAGGAGCATGGGGGGTGGCATGCCTGACAATGTAGCTCTTTGTTTGGTACTACTTATGTTATTGATGAGAAGAGTTCCCCTATAAGAAGTTGTTAGGGGTCAGAATTAGCAAATCCTCATGTTGTATCTGCTCATAGACAGAATATGGCTGTGGTCAACAAAGAGTTTTGTAAAGGTCACAGTTACATCAACCAAAGGAGATCAATAGAGCAGCATTTCCCTGCACAGAAGGCAGGAGGAGAAGGAAAAGAATGAATGGAAATGGTAAATTCAAGGCAAAGGGGAAGAGTGCAGGGATTGCATCGATATCCTAAAAAAAAGTGTGCATGAATGGAAAACTCATTTGCTCTGTAAACTTTCACACAAATCATAATAAAAAGTTTTTAAAAAGAAAAATAAAACCCAAAAATCACAGTTGCTTCTGGAATAGGCTCCAGAGTGCTCAGGGAAGCCTGGTCTGAAAGAGGCTCTGCAAATATCAGAGCAGAGATCAAACATGGTAACTCCTGCCATTTTCTCAACTCATGAGTCTAAGGATAAGCATATCCTTACACTTTCAAAACCAGGCTTCTCAACACAATTTTAGGACTCAGAGATGAAGTGGATACTGCTTGTTCTTACCGTTTCCAAACACCAAGCTGTAGGAGGTGCAGCATTACCAAAGAGCAATTACTTTGATATCCATCTGATCGAAACCACAGATAGCTCAGGCCCTGGACCAAGAAGCCAGGCAGCAGGGCAGAGAAGGTCAGCCATCCCCAAAGGAGCTTTCCAGTGATGAAGTAATATATTACAGTGCAGAGGCCTGGGGGACAAAAAGAAAGTTGAGTTATTGGAAAGGCAGAGTGAGAAACTGGTTAACCAACAAATAGTGCTCCTTGCTAAATTCAACACTTAAATCAGCAGAGGGGAATCTACAGTCAAGAAGTGAGATGAAACCTCTAGGGCTTCTGAGGACACTCAAAGGACCAGACACCATGGCTCCTAAATGGGGGCTGTTGGATAACATCAATGATTAAAATTCTACTAACTAGAAGGTTGCTCTGGTGTCCAAGTATAAGGAGTTAGGCTGCCAACTCAAAGGCACATAGGTCAAATCTACCTGCTGCTGTGGGAGAAAGATGGGCAATTTCCTCTCCTATGATTTACATTCTCTGCAAACCTGTTAGAAGGTCAGCTATGAGTTGGTTCCAACTCGATGATATGTAACAACAATAATACCTAAAATGTTAAACTCATTCTCCTGGGTAGTATATATTTTGTTGTTGTTGTTGTTGATGATGGTGGTGGTGTTATAAGCAGCCCAGGTGATGCAATGGTTAAGCACTGGTTGCTAATAAAAGGTCAGGGATTCTACAAGCTCTGGTGGCCTAGTGGCAATAAGCTGCACTGCAATCCCAGGGGTGCATGGTTCAAATCCACTGGATGCTTTGCTGAAGGAGGGGCAATCTCCTCCTGTACCAGTCAGATCCAATCTGACAGTACACACACACAAAATAATTTAAAAATAAAAATAAAAATAAGTCAGGAATTCAAACCCACCAACTGCTTCAAGGAGAAAGATGTAGCAGTCTACTGTCATTAAAATGTATGGATTTTTAGAAGCACAATGGGGAGTTCTAGTCTATTCTGTAGATCAGAGTTAACTTTTCAGCACTAGGTTTGGTTTGGGTTTTTTTCCCCACTGTCATCTCCGAGTTCTGCACAACAAAGTAACATACTGTCTGGTTCTGCACCACTTTGTCAATTGATGTTTGAATCCCTTGTCACAGCTATTATGTCCATACATCCCACTGGTCCTACTGACTTGTCTTTCCAGTGACTTGTCTTCCCTGGCTGTATTGGAAACTCTCGTTGTGATCCATATGATTGTCACTGACTAATTCTCTGAAGTAGATTGCCAGGCCTTTCTTCCTTCTCCCTCTTGGTCTGCAAGTTCTACTGAAACTTGTACACAATGGGCGACCCAGCTGGTGTTTAAAATACCAGTGACATAACTTCCACATTATAGCAACATGCAAGTCACCGTGGTGCAACTAACTACACAGACATGTGGTGGTTTCTCTTTTATGATGCAATGCAACAGAGAAAAATTAGGTTGGGTCTGCATTCCCTAATCAATAACAACACTGAATTATTACTATATGTGTCAGGTACCTGTACTTTGTGCTTTATAGACATTACCATAGTGGTTTTTTGAGGTAGATAATTTTATCCATTTTTTTTTCAGATGTGGAGTCCTGACGGCACAGTGAGAGAGGCTAAGTTGGGGTGGTAACTGAAAGGTCAGGGTCCCCACCAACATATCACTCAGTGGGAGAAAGATGTTTGTCCCCATAAAGAATTAGAGCTTCAGAAATCCTATTGGGCAGTTCTATAAAGTTGCTAAGAGTCCAAACTTATTCTTGGCAATGAGGAAAACCATAGGCAGAATTTAATAGTTGTGTAACTTTGAGCATTATTAGATGCAACTCATAGTGACCTTATGAACAAGAGATTTAAACTTTGCCCTATTCTGGACCATCTTCACAATTCCCACCATGCTCAAGCCCATTGCCACAGTCATTGTGTCCACCCATCTTACTGACGTCTTCCTCTACTTTGCTGACCTTCTACTTTCTCAGCATAATGTCTTTTTCAAAGGCCTAGCCTCTCCTGAAAACACTCTTAAGTATGTAAGATGAAGTTTCACAGTGAGCTCTGGTGGCCTAGTGGCAAGAAGCTGCACTGCAGTCCCAAAGATGTGTGGCCTGTACCAGTCAGATCTGAGATCTGATCTGACAGTACACACACACACACATAATAATAATAATAATAATAATAATAATAATAATAATGAAGTTTCACTATCTTTGCCTCTGCGGAGCACTCTGGTTGCAAACCCTCCCACACAGACTTGTTCCACAACTGAAAGACATCAATTGTTTTTCTGTCATCCTTATTTCTTGTTCAACTTTCAGATGCATACAAAGCAACTGAAAGTACCATGGCTTGGCTCATACCCTAGTTTTTAAACTGACACCCTTGCCGTTTAGCACTTTGAAGAGGTCTTTTACAGAAGACTTCCCAATGCAGCACGTCTTTTGATTTCTTGACTGCTGCTACCTTGGGTGTTGTGGATCCAAGTGAAGTGAAATCGTTGACAACTTCACACTTTTCTCCATCCATCCATCATGATGTTGCCTATTGGTCCAATGGTGAGGATTTTTGTTTTTTTAATGTTGAGAAGGAATCCATAGTGAATGCTATAGTCCTTGATCTTCTGCCTAAGTGCTTCAAGTCTTCATCATTTCTGCAAGCAGGGTTGTGTGTGTGTCATCTGCAAACTGTCAGTTGTTGATGAGCCTTCCTCCAAACCTGATGTTACATTCTTCAGGTAGTCAAACTTTTCAAATTATTTGGTCAACAGATTAATAGGCATAGTTGTTGTCATTGTTAAGTGCCGTCGAGTTACAGGCAACTCATAGCGACCCTATGAAGGAGAGTCCTCGATGCTTGGGTGCCTTTCATCCTCTCTCCAGGTTAATAGGGTTTTTGGAGGCAAGCGATTATGGAAGGATATAATCCCCATGTATATCTTTTCTGATGTTGAAGAATGCTGTGTTCCCTTGTTCTGTTCAGATAAGTGTTTCTTGGTCTATGTATAGGTTTTGCATGAGCACAATTAAGTGTTCTGAGATTCTCATTATTTATCCATAATTTATTATGTAATTGAGAGTTTGGGCATCAGGAACAATAACATGGCAGTACCACCCAATTCTGAGGGCTATTATGAGGATGACAATAGGGATTTGTTTCATATCCTGCCCAGCACTTGTAGGCAGAACACACACTAATAATTTTATAGTATTTGTGTTTGTTCTAGAAATGGTTAAAAATGGATATCTATGTAAAAGATATGAATTTTGTGGAAATGCAGAGCATTATCCCAAAGCGTTAAGTAACAATTCTTCAGCTGAATGAAAGGCATTAGGGCTTTTGAATAGCCATCCTTCCTGGTCCCTAGGTTTCTTCTCTATTTTGAGCTTCCTATCACACACTAGTAGGCACAGACCCCCGCCCCCGAGCTTTTGGAGAAGTAACCAATTCTGAAGAGTTGGTTGTTGATAAATGTTGAGGACAACTCACAGTGACCCTATGAACCACAGGTCTGAATTCTGTCTTATCCTAGACCATCTTCATCATTTCTGATATATTCGAGTCAATGACAGCAGTCACTGTGTCAGCTCATCTCATTGAGGGTCTTCCAGTCTTTTGCTGACCCTCCATCTTTCCAAACATGATGTCCTTCTCCAAGAAATATTCTCTCCTAACATGCCCATAGTAGGTGAGACGAAGCTATGTCATCTTTGCTGCCAAGGAGTGCTCTGGCTTGCACTCTCTCCAAGACATACGTTTGTTCTTTTAGCATTCCATGGAATATTCAGTACTCCTCTCTAACACAACTCAAACATTTTTCTGCTGTTATCCTTACTCATAGTCCAGCTGTACAGGTAGTGGCTGAAACGACCAGAGCCTGAATCAGGTACTCTGTAGCCCTCAAACTGACATTGCTCCTCAGTAGTTTGGAGAGGTCCCTGACTGCACCCTTTCCCAATGCACTACATCTCCTGATCTCCTAACTGTTGGTATCAGGCTAGAACAGTACATTGACAGAAGTTCAAGGTAAGTTTAGAAGAGGCTGTGGCACCTTGGATATCATTGCTAATGTCAGATAGATCCTGGGTCAAAGCAGAGAATATCAGAAGAACGTCTATTTGTGTTTTATTGACTATGCAAAGGCATTTGTGGGGATCTTAACAAATTATGGTTAACATTGAGAAAATGGGAATCCCAGAGCACTACACTGTGTTCATATGAAACCTATACCGTTGTCTGAATAAAGCAAGGGAACACTGTTGTTGAGTACCATCAAACTGAAACCGACGCTTAGCTGACCCGCCAGCAAGTTTTCAGAGGCAATAAATTGCAAGGAGGAGACTGCCCATTCTCCTCCTGCGGGGCAGCTGGTGGACTCAAACCACATGCCTTCAGGATCGCAGCACAGGTAGGGTGTGCAGTAAGGTTATATCCTCTCTCCACACCTATTCAATCCGTATGCTGAGCAACTCATTCGTAAAGCTGGACTCTATGAAGTAGAAGGTGGCATCAGGATTGGAGGAAGACTCATCAACAACCTGCATTATGCAGATGACATTACTTTGCTTACTCAAAGTGAGAACACAAAGTACTGGCTGAAGAAGTTCAAAGACTACAGTCTTCAATATAGATTACATCTTAACATCAAGAAAACATAAATAACGATAGGTAACATCATGATAAATGGAGAGTAGATTGAAATGGTCAACTCAAAAGGTCAAGGAATGCTAAAAATGACACACCAGGGGTGGATGCTGAAACCCTGGGGCTCTTGTATTGTTTTATCAATTTCTGACATGGGTGTTGAAGCTGTATGTACTTTAGAATTAATTTAAACCAGCTGCTCCTTCTTGGAGGTTAAAGCCAAGCTCTTCTTTCTCGCCCTAGGAAAAACCACTGTGGACTGGAGGGGGCAGTCGTGTTAAAGCAGTGTTAATGCTGGGGAGAAAAAGTGGGAACTTGCTTCAAGGTGGAACACTCCACTGGATTTCTCAAATGTATATGTGTTGGTTAAGGAGGGCACAAAGCCCTGGGAGGTCTTCGTGAGGGCGCTTCAAGAAAGCATATCCCTCAACTCCCAGACCCAGGGACCCAAGTGCAGAGACAAGGGAGAACCGGCAGCTCGGCGGAAGTGGGCGGAGGCATTCCTCTTCGGCACCGAAAGGGTTACAAATTCAAACTGAAAGGGCGCTGAAAAGTGTAGCCATCTTGCTAGGTTTTAGCTTTCTACGACTAGTTCATTTTCAAGACAGAAGTCTCCCCGAGTGGGGTGCTGCTTGTCCTATTTTAATCTCTGATGCAAGTGCAATCCTCCTTCAGCGGCCTCGGTTCTGCAGATCCCACCCCTCCGCGCGCCTAAAATAGTGGATCTGGGTGCACCACAGCCGCCCTTTCATGCTGAGACCTGCCAGCCAGACTGGAGGGAAAACCAGCGGTGCACCCTAGTCCTCTGTCCAGCATATTTAACCCCCGTAGCCCTTTGCTGAGCTCAGGACAGAGCAAGATGAATGTCCCTAACTCGAGTCGCGGGGCCACAGCGTGGGGGATCATGCATTCGTGGGAATCCATCAAGGACTGGGCGAGCGGGTTGGGTACTTTCGCTCATGCACAGGATGGGAGGCTGCATGCTCGGGCAGGGGGATGGCATTTGGCCCCGGGATGGCAGAGGGTGAGGTGTTAGTGCAGGAGAGGTGCGTCCCCACAGCTCGAGCTGTGCCCGGACTCACGCGCGCTCTGCTCCGCCGCCAGCAGCAGGGCGGAGAAGCCCAGGAACCCCGCGTGCATCCTCTGCGCCCCGCGCCCCGAGCTCTCCCGGCGTCTGCCGCCCGCTCCCCCGCCCCTTCCTTCCCGCTGCCCGAAGGCGGGGAGGCTTCCGGCCCATACACTTAAATGCAGCGAGAATTTCGGCCCGAGTCCTGCGCGGTGGCATATTGTGGTTTATGCCAGCTTGCCTCCAGAGGGAGAGGAATTGCAGCACTGACACTGACTTTTATGGTCCGAAAGGAGAAACAATAGTTCAGAGTAGAGCTCTTAATGTAGAGCAAAATCCTTGTTCTGTGTTATCTTTACCTTCACAAAAAGGGAGCCCAGAAGATACTTGGGAATGGTTACAAGATTAGGCTTCTGTTAGTCACTTGGTGGTTCAACTCTTCAGAGCCCCTGGGCCAGCTTGAAAGGAATTCTGGTTAACCATTATGTAGTGTTCCTGTTTATGGAGTTGAATTAAGAAGGTTAATTGGCCTTCTCGAAATCTAATGGGGCCAGGAAAATACAAGGGAATCTTAACTTGGCATCTTAGTCTTCATCTGACTCACAAAACCATCCTAATCTCCTTCCTTAAAAAATCTTTGTTCAGATATGTTTGAGAGTTAAAGGAGGCCCTAAAGTGCAGGAAGTGTAAATTGTGCACCTGCAAGTCTTTCACTCAGGATTTTTTTTTTTAAAGAACAAAGGGTATTAATTGAGACACACTATGATGAAGCTTTTTAAGGATGTTAGTAGTGCAGTGGTTAAGAGCTCAGTTGCTTCCCGAAAGTTTAGCAGTTTGACACCCTTTGGAGGCCCAAAGGCGCCTCTGAAGATTTCTGAAAGGTCACAGCTTTGAAAACCCTATGGAGTCATTCTGCACACGTAGGGTCATTGTGTGTTGGAGAGGACTCATGGCAACTAATAACCTTGATAGCAAGTGAAGCTATAAATCATTTCCTGTTATTTTAACATTTATTAAGACAAAATTATGGAGTGAGCACTTAGTTGGTTCTTCCAACTAAGTGATTATTTATTATTAATAATAATAAATTATTGTGAGTTTTAGAAATTATTTCGTTGAAAAGAAAAGGCTGCCTCTCCCTTCCCAGTTTTTCATTTACTTTTCAGAGCATTTCTGTGGGTATAATCTAAGTTTCCCACCATTTTAACTGGGAAAGGTAGTTGTTAGTTGTCACCATGTTGACTGAGAATCATAGTAACGCTATGAACAACAGTTCTGAACCTTTCTGTGCCATTCTCATAATTTCTGATATACTTCAGCCCATTGTTAAAGCCACGGTGTCAGTTCATGTTGTTGAGGGTCTTCTATTACACTGACACCTCCGTCCCCACACCTTTACCAGTTGTTGTTGTTGTTATGTGCCGTCCAGTCCTTTGCGACTCATAGCGACCCTATGCACAACAGCCCTAAACCCTGCTCTATCCTGCGCCAACCGCACTGACTCTGACACACCCATCCTG